GCTAGCGGAATTTCGAGTGATCTTATTACAGCACGAAACATTGCAAAAACGCATGATCGCACGGGCTCACCCAGCGCGCGTCGCCAATGATCTTAACAGCAACCGTCAGCAGATAAAAGCTCCACAAAACGCTTAATCGCATAGGCTACCCTAATGCTTGCCGCTGTTTATTACTTACTATAGCAGTGCTATAGCGCTGCACAGCAAAAACGCATAATAAACGCTTTAACTGTTAAATGCACAAAAAGAATGATATGTAAGGCACAAAATACTCACGTTTGGGGATAATTATGCATTAACCGTGCTTTTTGAATAATTTTGCAAATGTACGTGATACCCAGACGTAGTAGAAGGCTGAAATTAAATTCGCGGGGTCACACGTGGGCAGGGGGCCTTCGCCTAAATTTTCAGCTTCCCAGCTTTTGTAGTTCCCGAGTTAAAAGTTGCGGAAAAAATGCACTCGAACATACACACACTAACACACACAGACAGGCTCGCGACTGTATGTGTTTTATGCAGGTGCTGCAGAGCAAAAAATGCATAAAAACGTGTACTGGAAAAAGAATAGGGAGCTGTGTGCGTGTTCCCATTTTATCACCGCCTTCGGTTCTGTAACCAGAAAAACAAGGAAGCTGAAACTTTTGGAGCATGTTTCCACGCCTTACCATGTGTGATTTTTCTTTAAAAAATATTCACGGGCGCTAAAAAGAAAGAATGTAGACTTTATGGCAAGAAAACGGTTTCGGGAACCAGATAAGATAAAAAGCTGAAATTTGATACGGATGTTCTGTCTTTATTTGGGCTAAAGATTTCAAAATTATCCTTCAAAGCACGCTTACGTCACACATACAGACACGTTAAGGCTGAGATGGGAACCCCACTGGCAAGATGCCAGCTCGGAACTGTGATAGTCATAGCATTTTAATTTTGTAAAAGTATTTGTTCTCAACAGATGGTGTGTTGACTTAAAATGAGCTTTGGAGCACGTTTGTGCAATAAACTCGAAGATTTCAAAAATATTTGATAATAGGAAGCAATTTCGCCAACCAGTTAAGTTACGAGGCTGAAATTTTATGAGGTTGTTTATGCCTATGTGGGACCTGAATATTTTAAATTTAGCCTTAAGATACGCTCAGACTGCGCGTATGAGCAAGTGGATGCTTAGTCTGGAAAGCTGCTGCCATCCAATTTACTTGATGAACAAGAAGCAGTTTTTTATTGCTGACGTTTGGTGCTCACCTAGGGTTCAAAAAGCGCAAAATGGGCTTAATAGCGCGCGTGCAAGCATACCAAATGTTCAAACTGCAATGCTGCCATCATCCTATTCTCTTGACAATCAGGCTAACGAGCAAGCTGAAATTTTATGAGAATGCCAACAGATTCTGCGGGGTACGAAAACTGCAGTCCCAACTTTCACGCACACTAACACCTCTCATAAAGATGCGGCATGTTTCAGGCTGCAAAAACGCATAATCGTACCAGAAACCCTGATGAGCGTTGCTGCCTGGGTTTGCAATGAAGCCAGGAGGCTGATCATGATTATTTTAGCTTGGAAATTTATTACACAGCCTGATGAGGAAAAAAATGGCTTACTTCAAAGGATGAGGCTTGTCGGACAGAATTTATGATATAGTCCTTGTAAGAGACGCATATTGTCCGCAGGCCTTTTTCAGCCATTTCTTGGATTACTTCTGACATCAGCTGCTTATGCTGCTGCTCATCGAATGCCTGTACAGTGTTATCAGCAACAATGATATGGCTACAACGAGCCAGCACAATCTCCGATGCGCCTTTCTGGTAGACCCGATAGCCAGTGTGTGCACCGTTCTCGATAAGTCTGATCACAGTCATCATGGCTTTCCTCGATGAGTTGAATGTGAACACCTAGTATGAGGTGATGATTGTATATGGAGTTTGACCACTGATTGCACATGATAGATGCGATTGTGAAATTTCGAAGTGGACACGGGTCCAAAAATGTTACGGGAAACGTACTTTCACATGTTGCTCTTCCGGATGCTGTTCTCTTATTGCTGCATAACTGCTGCCAATCGACAAAATGAAACCAAGAAGGCCACATTCTGTCTTGTTACCAACTTGATAGTCCTGAAACGACCAGAGCTAACGGACTCCTATCTTCTGGAAAATTAATCTTCAAAATAAATGGAGGACTTTTGCGAATAACTGTCATGAAGTGCACAGCGAAGCGAATTTTGCCGACAAATGCAGAATTTGCTCGCTTTGTGCCACTGATGATCTTCCAATTCATTTGGAATTGCGGCTTTTTATACAGGCATTTTGTTGTATGCTGGAAATTTAACAGCTGATGGATTCGATACTTGTGGCCATGAAGTGGATAAGTTTGGTGGCGATCACTGATTTACTGATTTAAAAAGCAAATTTTGAACTTTCAGCTTTACACGTTTTGCAGTACGATATCCGCTTGCAAATGTAGTAAGACCTGTGGATCAGTTCAAAGGTTGTTGTCTGAAAGCTAACTTTCTCTTGCATTACTCATTAAATTAAGTTCTAAGATTTCGCATTAGGTCAATCTTTACTTAATAATTGCAGAACTAGCTTGATTTTTGACTTAAGAGCAGGGACAGAACGGCGGAAAAATCAAAAACCCCTGTCACATTTCCATTCGCCTTCATAATCAGTATTTTTCCAGAATTGTGACTTCTTCGTAGCTCCAAAACTGAACTGTTCAATTACACAACCAAATATGATCAAATCCCAGTTGGTTTGTGCAAAACGTAAATGACAGTTCCTCCTAAAATTCACAAACTAAATATACCTGTTCGCCAGGCTTTGTTCCCTGTACGATTGCAGTATTGTAGGAGCAGTTAACAACAATTGCTTCGGAAAGTAATCCAACGAAGCCAGATGGTAGATCGTGCTTGCTCGGCTGCCGATCGTTATCACCAAAATATTTCCCTGAAACTTTGCTATTACTATTATATCATTTCCGGTAAAGTAATTAAAAGCATAGTTAGTACCATAATACAAGAACCTTAAATGCCCAAAGTTTAGTGGACTTGGTTTTTTGGACCACCACCTGAATCAATTTTTCGGAAACTCCGATCGGTGAGGCTGCATCGCGACGCGTAGCATTTTCATGTACTGCATCCGCATGGCCCTCTTTCCTTCGGAGTTTAGTTCTTTTTTCTAGCTCCGCAAGCAAGAGAAAGTCATAGCTTTTCATTCCTTGGAACATTTTCAAACCAGTTTTCAGATTCTCGTATTTGATTGTAATTTTAGTTTTAGATAATGTGTATTTATGTAAAAAGTAAGGGTTAAAAGGGATAGCTTTCTTCGTCCCTACTAACAATTCAAGTATTGTTGATCGCATTATGAATCAAAATCATATTATCAGACGTAGTAATATTCGGAGAATTATAGCTGTTCTTTCCCAATTATACAGGACATTGGTATTCTGTAATATTCCCCATATCAAGATTCGTGCTTGCCAACTTTCTTGAGTACGTCTTCCCGTCAATCTTTAGTGTTGGACAGATGTGCTGCTATGCAGCTTCTTTACGTTTGTAATGAATCTTTCTGCAACGGTTTTTGTAACTGCACAGAGTTCACCAATGCTGTGACCGGCTGTTGTTTTTCTTTGCACTACCACTATGTTATTATTAAGTACCCTTTTCCCAATTTTCATTCATGTGATCCTAAGCGCCCTTTCATGGATGGTATTATGAAATTCCAATCGGCAAAAATCATTGAAGCTTTCTTGAATACTGTAAAGGCTCCGACAATGTCACTGTTGCAATGAGAATACAGTGCACCGCAAAACTCGAAGACACTCAAGGTGACCCGCCCTCTTTCCCACCAATCCAGATTAACCGTTTGCAACAGGACTGGTGACGAGGTATCACTTGTTATAATAAAGTCCATTTGTATCTGCTTTTGATGATTTTTCCCCTGAAATACTGCTTGCGCACTGGCTTACTTAATCGTGAATATCTATGTTTCATTTTGTTAATTTCCTTCGTTTTCCGAAGATTCCGTCAACACAATTTTATTTTCTTAAAAAGCCCGAAATTTTCGATGAGTAATTTCAGACAGACACGTTTTCCCCTTCATCTATTCGCTAACTTTTGTATAAGAGTGTCTGTCAATTTTCTTTCCGGATGCCGTTTATTATCGCAGTACGGTTACGATGCATGACTGGTCTTCCCTAGTTTTTCTGGCTCACGATTCCAACTGTACTTGTATTGTAATTACGACATTACATCACTGATTGTGCCCGAACTTTCATCGCTCTGGTTGCGCCTTCCATCCAAGCATCTGCTCCAGTTGCTACAGGCACCCATCTCTTTAGCACTGAATCATTGTTTGTTTTGTCGACTGGGGGACGGGTTTGTTTTCGTTGATTTTAAACTCAAACGCTCCTTTGCGACTACGTGAGATGCGCAGAATTCAGACTGGAGCAGAATGTAGAAGCTGCCAGCTACGCTGATGGCACAAAGGAAGATGATGATGAAGCAATAGCTAATCCAAATACCGAAGTCGAAAGGAATTCTATAAAGCAATGGAGTGGAGCAGTTAAATGAATAAAAGGTGCATAAGGAATACCAAGCATAAATGACTGAATGACAGTCATCCGGTTGGTAGTCAACGTCCCAGTCTTATCCGAACAAATCGTTGTGGCATTGCCCATAGTCTCGCATGCGTCTAAGTGCCGCACAAGGTTATTATCATGCATCATCTGCAATTACGGCACCTGTTTACAGCCTTGAAATATTTCCTCTACTCATTGTTTTAGCAAGCAAGGGACCAAGTACTTTTTATACGTTTTTGCTGTGCAGCGCTATAGCACTGCTACAGCCAGCAAAAACGCATACTGTCGAGAAGCTGTGTGTGTGTGTTGGGAAGCGAGTGCATTTTGTTACCCACTTTCAACTCGGCAACCAGGAAAGCTGGGGGACTGAAACTTCGGATATATGTTCCTACCCC